CATATAAAACTCCCTTCCCACTCCAAAGTAGTGTTGAAGGTGGCTTAAAACAAAGTTAAGCCCAAACATTCAGGTTTCAGTGATGGCTGGGACTGCATTTGCAGAATTAAAACTAATCTGCCCATTGAACCCTTTCCTAGAGAGATCTGATCTAGCCACTGTGACATATGCCTTAGTTCTTGGCTGGATTACTATATGCATTTAGTAAAATATCTAGTTTCAGCTGAATCTTGAAATAGCCACAATAGTAATGCCTTAGTCCAGAGATGACAACATGTAGCCAGTGGGCCGCACACAGCCCCCCACAGGCCCAAATGCAATCCCAGTATACTCATTTTAATTACTGTTTTTTTAAAAATGCTCATAATTTTTTAATATGAGCATTTATAACTGATAAACCCAACAGTGGCTTATCAGTTAATCCTAATAAGCAAGCAGACAGCAGATGCGCCTTTACATATCCTAATCTAAAACTGATTAGAGTAGTCACTGTAATGAACTGGGGCCTGAACCAAATTACTATCACAAAACAAAAATCATAGGTCTATCTATCTATTAATTATGACACCCACACTACTCAAAGGTCTCTGGGTGGCTTACAACAATTTAACTACAGTAAAAAAGATAAAACAATAAATACAATTAAAAATGACATGAGGCATACATAGTTTATTTATTTATTTTATTTACACCCCGCCCATCTGGTCTTCTGACCACTCTAGGTGGCTTCCAATACATAGATAAAAACATACAAATATACACAAAGAAAAGAAGAGTGATCAAGGGTTAACTGGAGGAAAGGCCTGCACAAACATCCATGCTTTTAGTTGGTTTCTGAAGATACCCAGCGAGGGGGCCTCACAAGTCACTGGAGGGAGATTGTTCCAGAGGCGAGGAGCCACCACTGAGAAGGCCCAGTTTCTAATTCTTTCCTTATGGGCCTCTCTCGGCGTCAGGCTCCTCAGCCTCACCTCCTGACTCACGTGGGTGATATGGGGAGACCTTGGTGGGAGTAGGCGTTCCACCAAATATCGAGGTCCTAAATCGTTTAGGGCTTTATAAGTCAGCATTAACACTTTGAAGTCAATGCGGAACCGAATGGGCAGCCAAAGCAGTACGGCCAGAATAGGAGAAATATGTTGGTGTTTTCTCACTTCACTAAGGAGTCTGGCTGCCGCATTCTGCACCACTTGGAGTTTCCGGATCAGCCTCAAAGGTAGCCCCACATAGAGCGCGTAACAGTGATCTAAACTTGAGAATACGAGCGCATGCACCAAGGGGGTGAGCGCCCCCACATCAAGATAGGGTTGCAGCCGGCTATCCCCCAAAGGCGGAAGAAGGCAGTGCGGACCACCAACGGCACTTGCATTTCCATTGTGAGCGCCGGGCCCAGATGGATCCTCAGACTGCAAACTCCATTCTTTGCGGCCAGGGCCACCACCACCCCAAATGAGAGAGAGTCGCCCAGACTGCCAACAGTGGGGTCACCCACCCTCAGAACCTAGGTCTACTCCGGGTTAAGCCTCAGCCCGTTTTCCTGCATCTATTGCAGTACGGTCCCCAGGCAGCGCTGTAGGGACAGAGTGGCATCACTTGCAGTTGGTGAAAAGGAGATGTAGAGCTGGGTGTCATCAGTATATTGATGACACGATGCCCCACACCCCCTGATGACCCCACCCAGCGGCCTCATATAGATGTTAAACAACATTGGGGAAATGATCAACCACTGTGGAACCCCACAATTGAGACTCCACGGGGCCGAAACACTCTCCCCAAGCTGTACTCTCGGGGGGCGGTCCTCCAAGAAGGAATGGAACCAGGCAAGAGCCAAGCCACTGATTCCCAACTCAGAGTGCCTCCTCAGGAGGCTACCATGATCAACGGTATCAAAGGCCGCCGAGATGTCGAGGAGAAACAACAGAGATATTTTACCCCTGTCGTCCTCCCTCAACAGGTCATCGTACAGGGCGACCAATGCTGTCTCTGTACCGTGGCACGGCCTGAAGCCTGACTAAAATGGATCCAGGGCATCTGTTTCATCCAAATGTGCCTGAAGCTCGTCAGCCACACCCTCTTGAGCACATTGCTAATGAAACAAACATTGGCAATGGGTCTATAATTGCCAATTTTACCCCTGTCGTCCTCCCTCAACAGGTCATCGTACAGGGCGACCAATGCTGTCTCTGTACCGTGGCACGGCCTGAAGCCTGACTAAAATGGATCCAGGGCATCTGTTTCATCCAAATGTGCCTGAAGCTCGTCAGCCACACCCTCTTGAGCACATTGCTAATGAAACAAACATTGGCAATGGGTCTATAATTGCCAATTTCATCCGCCGCCGAATTAAGTTTCTTTCTTATGGGCCTAATGAGTGTCTCCTTGAGGGCAGAGGGAAACCTGCCCTCAAGGAAAGACCCATTAATTATTGCTGTGGCCCATTCTGTTGTTATCGGCCTGGCTGCTTTGATTAGCCAGGCCGGGCAAGGGGCAAGGGAGGAGGTGGAGGCTCGACAGTGATCAAGCACTGTATCCACAGTATCTGGCATCACAGACTGAAAATGAGCGCTGGGCATCTCAGCTCAATTCAATGTATTCAAAAAAGGAGAGAGCTCCCAGCGGATGGCCTCCACTTTAGATTTTAAAAATGCTGCAAACTGGTCTGGTGAAAAACTAGGGGGAGGCCCGTCACTCAGACCAGTTCCGGTTAGGTCACGTACTATGCAGAATAATTCCGCCTGCTGGTTGGAAACTTCGCTTATCCGGTTAGCGAAGTATGCATGACTAGCAGCCTTTACCTTAGTAAGGTAAAGGTTAGTAGCGACCCTGACAGCTATCCACCTACGCTCTAGCCATCTCCTAAGCCGCTTCATCGCTCAGAGGTCCTGGCTAAACCAGGGTGCAGGTCGAGCTCTGCGGTGGAGAGGGCATTTAGGCACAATCGTGTCTATAGCCCTGGAGGCAGCAGTGAACCAGCTATCTACCAGAGCCTCGACAGGAGCGCCAGCCAGGTCAGCTGTAACCCCTCTCATGGCATCCTGGAATCCAACAGGATCCAATAGCCTTCGAGGGCGGACCATGACAATAGGTCCCTGCTCCTGCAAGGGGGGAGAGCCACTGTGGGGTTACATTTTATTAGGTAGTGATCTGACCATGACAAGGGGACCAACACAAGGTCAGTCACCATCAGACCACACTCACTCCAATTGGTCGGAAAAAAACAGGTCTAACATGTGACCACCCATGTGGGTGGGGCCGCTGACATGTTGGGACATGTTCAAGGAAGCCATGGTTTCCAAGAACTCAAGAGCTGGCCCTGAAGTCTCTGCCTCTGCATGAATGTTGAAGTCACCCAAAACCAAAAGCCTCAGGGACCCCAACACCGCTGCGGAGACAAAGTCAGCCAGCTCCAGAAGGGAAGTGGCTGGGTCGTGGGAAGCGCGGTAACCCAGCAAAATCCTAATACCACCCCTGGCCCCAGTCGACACATGGGGCGCCTCAAGACCTGACTTTACCACCGAGGAGCGCCTAACTACCTCCAAGATGGATTTATAAACAATGGTTGTCAGCAAACACGGGTCCAAGAACACACGTGTAAGCCTGGACAGAGAGCAATCAGGAGTTTGCACATGCTAAAATGGGCTGAATGAGTCCAAATTCAGCTAGCCATGCTAC